TATATATATATACACATTTCTTGAAAAATGCTTACATTTGGACTTTTACAAGGTAAAAAAACTGGAATATCATGTGTAGTACAAATACTCTCTGAAGTAATTGCTATCGTTAACAATTTTCTTTCCACAGGATCTAGGGACCACCAGCCTTCTGTAGCAGCTGCCACACAACCATGCACCAGAACACATCCATATATTGAGTCCAGATATTCCATAAATCCTTCCAAACAAGTCTTGAATACATATCTATTGAGTATTGTATATAACTTTATATTGTATATCTTTCTTTGCACAATAAAATTTAAATACCTGAAGCAAAATATTTTCTGATATGATGCATTCTGTCATATTAATCATATTGGTTTTTGTAGAAATTTTATCTCCTATGTCCAAACAATCCATTAAGCTATCAATAATAGAACTACAGAGACGCATGTCCTTTTTAAGTCTCTCTATATTTTTAGAATTTTTTATTTCATCGATGCCAGTGAAAAGGACCATTGCACCAAAAGTAGCATCCAGAAATTTATCCAATATATATTTTGTTACTCCGCTTGCAATTGCTATTAATATAATACATTGCTCAAATTCTTTCCATATTACTGTCATATCTGGCAAGTCAGTACTTAACAAACTGATATCTTGTGATTTTAAGAACATATGAATTCCATTGAGGGATGCAATTTTTGAAAATGTCATCTGCAAACAGTTATATATATATATATATATATATAGATCTAATTTTATATAATAAAATATATAATGAATAAAATACATGTTTTTTTTATTTAAATGTATAACTTATACACAACTGTATCACTGTCTCCCTTCTGGCGAGAAAACAAAGGAATCCCTCCAGAAGAAGTTAAGCACATAACATATGCTGACATTCTCGCTTAGATTTTGCAAATATTGCAATTTACACTATTATTGAGTATCTTCGAATCTTTAAGATTGTAAAAATGTTCTGAATTTAAAAATCAGCTATCTGTATCTTAATTAATTATGCATTTCTCATCTTGGGATGCTAAATAAAACAATGTATATATATGTAAATAAACACATCTAGAATTGATAAACTTTTCGTAAGATATAACTTAAAACTCTGACAATCTGATTGATAATTGTTTTTGACAGTCTGATAATTGTTTGCTGTATATCCTGTAGCAAAATCAAGCGAAAGTATTCCCAAGTAAAATGGTTTTTTTTTTGTCAATCATAATCTGCGCACAGAAATCAAATCATCATCAACTATGTTTTAACAAATTTTTTCATTCTTATTATTCCTTTAATTTTTATTACTTTTTTAATTAATAAATAAATATAAGAAATATCCAGTTTATATTAAAAATATTATAATTTCAAATATTCATCTCTCTCCTTTTCCCTTTCTGCTATTGGCCGTATTCACTAGTAATACTGGAAATCGGTAATAATACGTGACATAAACTATAGATTATTTAAATTTTTAGTATTAGCAGTGAATTTCAGAACACAGCCATTATCAATTGCAATTTCCCTTGTAAAAGACCCGTCTATGGCAATGAATATCGGAACGCAACTTACGCTCTACGCTATCTATAATTTGACAAGTCTATGGTTGAATGTGTGTATTAAAGATAATTTTTTAAAGGATTTATAAAGAAGAATGTTTAATGTGTTTGAATAAATACAATATAGACAGAATAATAACAGAAAATTTAAAAAATGGTTACAATTTCAAGAATTTTATCTCGTAGAAGCTACGGTGGATTACAAGCAGCAAAAATATTATGTAGGTTATCTTTTCATACTCTGTTGTTATATATCACATTTATATGATCTGATTGTTTGTATGTACGATATGTATTAGAGCACAATTGCACTATTATTTTTATATGAAATTTATAATAATTAAAATTTTATATTTTATTATTAAAAAAATGTTATTTTTCAGACAATGCAACTAGAAAAAGTACCTCGATGATTACACCAAATTCGACAGGAGAATCGCAGAGTAATGAAATGCCAAAACAAAATGTTGAGCAGTCGAAAATAATTTCAGATAGATATCGATTTATTTATCCGGAATTTCTACCAGATCCAGATCCGACACATCGCAATACACTCAGAGAAAAATTGGAGCGCATGGATATGTTAGCGAGGCGAACGCGCATAACAATACCAGAGTTTTATGTTGGTTCTATATTAGCTGTGACTTATTCCGAGCCACATGCTCCTGGAAAAGTCAATAAATTTGTTGGTATATGTATAGAGAGAAAAAGAACTGGATTGAGATCTACATTTCTATTGAGAAATGTAATTGATAGTCAAGGTATTGAAGTGTGTTTCGAATTATATGATCCTGCAATACAGAAAATAGATTGTCTTAGGTAAATACAGAGATTATTACTGAATAAATTATTTTATGAAATCTGATCGCTTATCAAAGTTATTAATCACAAAACATCTAGACTTGAAAAAAGATTGGACTCACATTTACGATATCTGCGGGATGCACCAGCAGAATACAGCACTTTTCCCTTTGATCTGGAATCAGAATATTTGCCAGAAGGAGCGCCAGTTCCTGTAAATAACATCAAAATACCACTCAATAATTTCCCATGGTTGGAGAAATGGGAACGTCAGGAATTGAAAGGTATAGAAATAAACTTTAAAATGCATAACAAACGCATTGCAAAAGCCAAAGCTGCTGCAAAACCATGGGTAAAATACGACTTAATGAAAACATACAGGTAAGAAAATACATTATATTTCATATTTTTAATATTAATTTCATGTTGACTCTTGGTCTAATTCATATTTTTTATCTAGGGAAACCATTCCTGAAGAGGAACAAAATCAAATATTTAATGAAGTATATACAAAATTACATGAAATGGAAGTTACTAAACGTAGACTAAAACATAAACGTACTTTTGTACGTCCACAAAAAACTGGATAAATTATTATTATACAGTATTTCTTGAATCTTATAAGAAAATAGAATGAAATAAATAAATATTATTTTCTGTTCTTATACCTTGATAATGATATATATAATTTTTGTTTACTCTTCCCTCATACAATAGGATTGTAATTCTACAAAAAAATCAAGATTTCATACAATTTCGTAACAATTGTTATATTTTATATATCAAAACGAAAAAGATAAAATATAGAATTAAACACCTACATTAGAATAGAATATAAATTAACTCCTTGATAATTTTGTTATCTAAATGAACTATAGTTAATGATACATATATTATATAATCA